TGGCGGGGGGACACAGGAGGCAGACTATGAAATGGTGGTGGGTTGTTAGGAGGAAGTGTTGGTGCTGCTCGGGCTGTTACTGCTCCAGCTCGGGCTGCAGGCTCCCCGGGTACATGTCCCCAGGGTTGGTACGTGTCATACGTGTCATGTCATATAACTCTTAAAAAGGCCCTGAGACTCGAGCTTGTTCATTATAAGAAGTGTCGGTGTTGCTGTAACTGGAAACTGAGACGGTAACTGCTAAACAGGTAGGAGGACCCAAAATTACCAGAGGCTTCTTCTGGGGTTAAAATAATTCATCCTTTCTATTGAACTGAGCCTAATGTGCTATAATAGCACTAGTAGTAAGGGTTACATTTTCCATTAGGCATGGTAGGCATGTGACTCTAGGTGCCAGAGACATGAAGAGGTGCTCATTATATTAACTACACATTGTGTTTCCTCTCTCTATTAATTAGTAGTATAGTTACTACTTAGTACAGTACAGTCATCTTATTAAGCTTATTTACAGGTTTCACAATATTCTAAGGCAGGTTAGGACAGGTATCACAAGATATTGTTCTGTGTAAAGAGGTGATCCTGGCACAGGGGTGTTGCTTTGAGTGCCAATGGTTGTTTGCCTACAGGCTCGAGTGATGGAAATCCAGCCCTGCTGGTAGAGGTATAATGCCACTACTTACACTGAGCAGACTAAATAAAGGTTAAATATAGCAAGATATGCACCTTTGTGAGTTTTGATCTAAAATATATGAGCAGTATCAAGGAAATGATGGCTGAACAGCTGAACAACAGAAAAAAAGCTTTGTGAACTAAGCCCATTATCTGTTAAGGTTTTGTTTTACAGTGTCACTTTCATTTCTCTTCAGCTTCTAAAAATAAGAATAGCCAACGTATGCTAGCCATGAACGGCAGGATTGGCGGCTGCTTCAATGTAATATCAGACAGTGCAGATTCCTCCACTGTTTAGCATGGATGAGGGAATCAAATGATTTTCCTGCATGCTGAACGAGAGAAATCCACACATGTATGATTAGCTTTAGGCAGTATTCAGCTTACAGCTATGTAGTTTGCATGTTCTCCCTGTGCTTGCGTGGGTTTCCTCCGGGTACTCCGGTTTCCTCCCACACTCCAAAGACATGCTGGTAGGTTAATTGGCTACTCTCTCAGTTGGTCCTCTATGTATGCAT